CCGCACGTAGGATTTAAAGAAGCACCTATAACACCACCAGATATTCCCAGGCTAATTGATGTGCCTGCAGATAGGATTGTGCCGATAGAAAATGCACAATTGGAGAAATTCAAAAGAAATAGAACAAAAAATTCGAGTAAGAAACCAGGACCCAAGAATGCAAATTCCTGTAGAGGAATCCAGAAATAAAAATTGGGGGAAATAATGAATACAAGGCAAACAGACAATTCAAGAGAAGTAGAGTGGATGTAACGGTCAAATCATGGACTTGTGGCTTTCACATGAAAATTGTCTTTGGATGATTCAATAAATGAAGCACCCATTAGAATCCAATCGGCGTATATTCAAACTCAACTCAAAGGCAGGTCTAAGTTGGTAGAACCAGGGGAGCGATAAAACCGAGCAGTTTAAAAACAAGATTCTCACGATTACAGATTGAATAAGAATAACGTAATGGTAATCGACCATTCTTCATCCAGGGGAAACCCCCTCATTAAGCAGGAGATACCCCCGCCCCCCCACAATGAATACAAATCCGTTGAACTTCTGGTGAATAGCCACTTTTGCATAAGCATATTTCTTATTGAACTCTTTAATCCCCCTCCCCCCCACCCCTCCGAATTACTTTTTGAAAATGCACCCCCAACCGCTTCCACACGCAATATCCCACAGCAGACTGATGCCACCAACGTGATGAGCCTTGGTGGTGTATCAGGCGAGGGCTATAGACACGTATTGATCGTGCTCCAAGCGACAATAGTGTCACTGCTGTTACGAGTCTAATACCAGTAGAGCTTACTTTAAAAGAGGACAGCACTGTCCTGTAGGGCGTTAAAGGGTCTAACTGAGCACACGAATTTAACTCAAAAGCTTCCAAATGTGTGCGTCAATTTTATAGATTATTTATAAATAGCGGAAAAATATTCAATTCAACGTGCAGATAGACAAAAACTTCATCCCCTCGGGCAATGAACAAAAACCGATTCAAATCGATAAAAATCATAGAACAATCAGGATGGTGCACCACTACCAAATGGTAAGTTGATGGATGCTTGATTTTCATGGGCCAGTGAAATCAATGATGACGACTGGTGCACTCGATCAAGTCGATAACGGATTAAGGAAGGCTTCAAAGTGTACAGATGACAAGACAGATCAATTTCAAAAAAAATTGGATAACATGTTATTACATACACTCATTATGCGTAACATCCCACTAACAACTCGTCCAAACAACACACGCTAACAATAAGGCCATGGCGTGGGAGAGAAATGGGATAACACCCAAAATTGGGCCACATCTCGAGGTCATGGGGCCGTGAATTTGCAAGTAAAATTAGATCCACAGCATCTTTTTGCCCAACTCGCCAGCCTCAGCCAATAATAATCAACGAGGCAGCTATTTAGCCAAGGTAATAGAAACCGATCGCAACTCATTTTTTCGCGTCAATTTCCATAGTCCAACTGAGAGAATAGATTCACAAGCCATGTGCAGGAAATCTCCAGTATTTAAATTTTAATGAGGGGTTTATGGAACTAAGAGAGAGGGAGAGAGGGAGAGAGAGAGAGGAGGAAAGATGCAGCATTTGAAGTGGTGTGCCTCGAATTCGTGGGTACTTTGCACCCAGACCCGATTTTGGGACACCAAGGCCTTGTTTAATTCCCACGATCCGTAAAGTTATAGAGGGGACAAGAAAGATAATCCTATTGGGTTGGCAACTAAGTCATTGCCGGTTTTGTTGACAGATTCACTCTATACTTTCTTTTGTTTTGTTAACGTGGCCAGAGCATCTAACCTATATTTTTTTCTTACTGTATGGCCTTCTAGGTTAATTAGTAAAAAATTTTTTTGTTTAGTTCTTTAGTTTTGTTTTTATCCCAATTTAAAATGAAAGAACAGGACGTGCACTTCCGACACATTTTATTGTATTACTTCCGAAAAGGCAAGAACGCATCGCAAGCACAAAAGAAGTTATGTGGCGTATATGGAGATGAAGCCCTAAAAAAAAGGCAGTGTCGAAATTTGTTTAAAAGATTTCGTTCCGGTGATTTTTCACTGAAAAATTCACAACGATCTGGCACCCCAGTCGAAGTGGATGAAACCCATATCAAGGCCATTATCGATTCAAATCGTCACAGCACAACACGAGATGATATTGCAGAGAAGCTCAATGTGTCGCATACATGCATTGAAAAAAAATTAAAAACCCTTGGTTATGTCAAGAAACTTGATTTATGGATCCCTCACCAGTTAAAGGAAATTCATTTGACGCAACGGATTAGCATCTGTGATTCGCCACTACTGAAAGGCAATGAGAATGATCCATTTCTGAAGAACCTAGTTACTGGCGACGAAAAGTGGATAGTTTATAACAATGTTACTCGCAAGAGATCATGGGTGAAGCAAGATCAACCAGCCCAAACAGTACCAAAAGCAGAGATTCACCAAAAAAGATTATGCTGTCAGTCTGGTGGGATCACAAAGGAGTTTTGTATTTTGAACTCATGCCGCAGAACCAAACGATAAATTCAAATGTGTATGTTGAACAACAAGAAAAACTGAAGGATGCAATTGAAGATAAGCGGCTGGCATTATCAAATCGGAAGGGTGCCTTCTTATTTGAAATCGGCAATGACTTAGTTGCCAACCTAATAACATTTATCTACTACGAATAAACACATCCCTTTTTCATACACTTTTTCCCATGTTCAACATACACTGGGGCTAGTAAATTGGAATTGGGGTTAGGCCATTCCAGGCTTTAGGGCTATAAACCGGCAGTTGAATTCTCCCTCCACACTATCCTGACCCCACTGTATGTCATACTCGACCACTTCCACGGTACTCATCTGTCTGTCTGTCTCTTACATTTGTGAATCACTCTTCTGTCTCCCCACCCCTCGACTATTCGTGATTTTAATGCTCCTCCACCCCCCCCNCTATTCGTGATTTTAATGCCCCTCCCCCCCCCCCCCCCATCTGTGAAGCCCGAAGTCAGCTAAAGGCCTAATAGTGGCTATCAAAACGCCTGCCATTTGAAATAAATAAATTTGAGAGCACCAATGAGAAACAATGCTTATGAAAAAATAACTCTCAAATGCTACTTATCTTTAAATTTATAGGTAAGACCTTATAGAACATTGTCCACCCCCCCCCCCCGGCCCCGCCTCCCTCCCAAGAAACATAGGTAATGCGATTGGCTGAGGAGTGGTGAATAGGAAGGACATGGTAGAGAGTCCCAGCTTTAATTAATGAAATTCATGTGAGGATGTGCGTTGGCAATGTGAATGATTAGCGAAATTATATTATTTTTGGCTTAGTCTTCCTCGTTGTTAGCTCAATCAACTTCAACTATGACAGTTACGTGCGGTTTTAGCTATTCTTGATGGATTATTCCACGTGTAGGCCTACATGGGCACAAAAAGAAGTTTTCGAAACGTGAACCGTGGATTAAGAGAGATAAACACGGTTTTTGTTCCCGTTAACGTTGTCAAAACGATCCAATTCTCGACTTCAATAACAACTTGTTGGGAAAAAAAACATAACGGTTTCTTCTTCTTGATAAAAAAAAATTAATATATACACGTTTCTCCGCTCGCCTCAGTGGCACGCATATTGCCTTACTAATAAATTTATCGATGCGTTTCAAGGGTGATTCCACGGTTTACCTCAATAGTGCTTCCTAGTTAACCGAGAATCTGATTCAACGGGAGAGTTAAGCACCGATGTCATTTTGGCTGGCATAAATCTTTTAAATTACATCAATGACTTTTTTAGCTCAGATTAAGGAATGACAGCGCACAAAGTCTGCCTCATGTAATTTCTGTCCGGTTTGGGGTTGGAAATGATTATACTTTACAGTAAAATGAAGTGTATTGCTCACGAGTAGCCTTGAATAGTTGTGTCCAATAAGCAACAAAAATGAGAGTTGATTTCTTCACGTGATTGGGCACGAACACCGAACTCAAATAGCCATTCATAAAGTTTACGATTTCTTAAAATTAATTTTAAAGTGTCTAGTACATCAGGAGGTTGTTTATCGAGACTAATCTTGGTAAGAGGAATGGAACTATTAAATCTCTCTCTCTCTCTCTCTCCCTATAGAAAACCTTAATTTTTCCACCCAATTCGGTATGCTCATACCAATGGAGATGCACAAACAATTTTATCCCTCCAAAGCACCCCCCCCCCTCCCCCACCACACTCCCCCAAATCGGAGACGAAAGTGGAATATGCTTTCAGGCGGCAATAATATGCTCAGTTTGAGTAGTAATGGGCGACGAACAAGCAATTAACCGAGAGCACATCTAAAGTCTCCGTTACTGCAAAGGCAGTGAAAAGATATCCAAATATAAAGCACCAATAAACTTAAATCACGGCGCCAGATTCGAAATATAATTCTATAAATGCTGTGTACTAGCAACACAACAATTGACACCAATTTGGAAACTAAAGACATCAACAGGCTCATCAACAAACATCTTCTCAATCTCCACCTTCCAAGTCTTACGAAAAATGACATCTTAAATTTATATTGTGGAAGGAACAATAGGTATCTTGAAAATTATTATTTCCAATTGCTAAAGGAAAAAAGATATCACCGTTCAACATATGGAAGCAATTTGAAGTGTGTGTAAAAAGAAAGTATTAAAATAAGAGGCATGAAGCAATCGAGGAAAACAAAGATTAGAAGAGTAAAATAAGGGTTAATTTCTGGATTTATTCAGTTGTCTAAAGGTGCCTTTCTCTGAAACCTAAACTTATTACTCCCAAGTTTAAACCCCGGGATCTAATAGCGAACTTATTGATTGTTCAAATAAGATTTGATTGGTCAGTCTATTAGCTCAATACCACTGTGCCTCCTGTTGGAAGGTATCAACAGTCACTAGTAACTTAATATAACCGAACTCAGTAAAGATGACGGCAGATCCGACTAGTACATTGCACAAACATTGTACGAAAAGTATATAAGATTGTACTCAAAGTGTGCCTACCATTTCTATGATCCCTCATTTGCAAGGAATTCGTCAAGTATAGGTATTAATTGTTTCCTTGTTGCATAGGGATTTGTAACAACAGCGATATGTACGCCCTGATTAATTGGTGTATTGCAGCATTCTCCACCCTTTATAGACCTCAGATGGAGAGCTCCAGAATTGCCAATTAAGTACTCCCACAACTAGAGTTCAAAAGGACTTTAAATAATCCTGACTACTTATAAATAATCAGTAGAAAAGATAAACCAAAAAACGAACCTTGTTTACAAATGCAAGATTTTGCGGTGGGCCGGTGATAACGATACCACGACGCATGCCATCGTCTAAGAGGGCTTCTTTAGGGTTGCAAGTGGAACAACTATTCTCAGCACTTGGAGAACGTCCAACAGTTACGCAAACCAGGGCATGAGCATTCTGCTCAGTGCAGTAGGTACTCCCATAATTGAAAAATCCATTCATAGAAGTAAGTTCCTAAATAAAAAGGTCAAAAGCAATCACTGAGTAAGCATCCATAAACGAAAGCTCAAAAATATAAATGCTACAACATATTTTTGCGGCAGAGTGAACATCACTGGCTCGAAATCAACTAATTAACATCACTTTACTAATCACGAAAAGCACCGAGATAGAGATAGATAGCCCACTAAATCTTCCTCACTGATAACGGGGAAAGATATCCAGGACTTGCCAATCATACCTCACCAGTTAATGCAACTTCGATTTTCACTAATGGCTAAAGAAAACTCATTTAAAAGAAATAGGCATGAAAACAAACGTACTCTCAAGCTCTCACTTTGATTCTCAAAATGTTTTAATTGCAAAAATTAAATTGATCAATGGAATAAGGAAATCACCTGGCAATCAACTCCAGTAATTGTTGAGCATACAATAATTGGACGATTCGGAAGGGTGACCTTTTTACAATCCCTTCGAAAAAGCTGCTGCAGTGACAAACCTAAAAATGCCCAAATTAGTTTAGGTGGTCAATGAAAATAAATTAGAGAATTGGGGGCGGGGAGGACTCCCAATCATCTATGGATAATATGGAGAACATAGGGGGAAATGTTCATCCAACATTTATTCTGGTGAACCCATAATGACAAAAGAAATTTGGGGAAATTATTCACTTTGTGGAACACATAACAAAGTCCATTTAATAAACAATAATGGCATAAGATCAAAAGGAAAGACCAAGGTTGACAAACGGTAAATCCAAAATCTGCTAACTAAAGTCATTTATAACTAATCTAATACGGTGGAATTTGCTTTGTAGCCACATTAGAAACAATACTCTCCGTTTTAAAGACCAAAATGAAGAGCAAGACCAATAAAAATAACAAGAGGCTTAAATATTTATTTCTTTCTTTCAAGTGGCAGGCGATTTGGTAGTAATCATTAGCCCTTTAGCTGACTTCGGGCTTCCCAGAGAGGAGGGGGAGCATCAAAGTCGAGAGGGGGAACAGTAGAGTGATCCACAGATGTAAAGGAAACAGACAGACTTGAAGACAGAGAAAAGGCAAGAAGAGTACTGTAGAAATGGTCGAATAAGACATACAGTGGGGTCATGGCAGTTTGAAGTGAGAAGTCAACTGCCGGTTTATAGACTTTCTTGTCGTATGAGCAATCGTTGCCCAAGGTGCCCCACGTAGAGGTAAGTCTATGGCACACCCCCAGAGGGTAGAAAAGTCATGTTTTAGAGTCCTCTTGGTGAGAAAGCAGAATTCAGCAAAGCCACACTTAAATAATCCGGTCAACCATTTCATTTAATGGATTTAAAATGATGGACACCTGAACCATGAAATTGAGGGCAAAAGGGTAAAAAGCGAGCAAAGTAGTGCGTAAGCGATTCCGCTATCGATGGTAGAGAAATGTTCAAGAGATGCTGAGGTAGGATGAACATTTAGAAACAATTCCGATAACCCCTAATCGCAACATATGGGTTTGCGGGTTGAATTTTAGTGTTCCAGCTGCACCATAATGAATTCAACAGACTTGGATACATATCCAAGAATAAGGAAGTTGAGGGAAGTTGCTGTAGAAGGATGGTAAAATGTGAGTTGTTCATTAAAAAAGGCATTTGGGTTTATGAGTTAACTTTTCGTGTATTAGCTGCTAACCAATGAATTCGACAAGACAAAAGATATAGATACTGAAATATAAAAAAAAACAAATAGGTACCTGAAATATCACATTTTGACTTCTTGATCTCCTCGTAGACATCGTTTCGGGTTCCACCCCGATTAAGCAAACTCTCACCACCGTGTTCAAGAAGCTTCTGGCATGCAAATTGATCTCTTTTAGTTGCCTTATTAATCTCAATCGCAGATATGGAAAATCCATCGTTATCAACCAACATCGCACCTATATGGCACAGCCATGACTTGGTTAGTTAATAGCCTAACCATATAATAAGTGGCAAAGATCCTTCGGAATTTCATTTGGATCGAGGTTATCAAAAAGCAGTTCCGTGATTAGTGTAGAACACGATCCAACAATATGAACATTAAAGAAATCACATGAATTCGGTTGCTTATAATCTTTGGGAAACGGTCGATGGTCGATGATTTCTATGACAGGATAATCTTTAAAGAAGTTGCTTTGTTCAATTTGCAAATGATCCACCAAAATAACTTGAATCATCTTGGCATTCTCTTTCTTATCAAGCCAATCCAATTCACCAGCGGTGATTAGGTCTCCAATCGATAATCCCACGGCTTCCAACCAATAAACAACTTCTGTCCTAAGATCAATCTCGGCCTTGGAGACATTGCAATAAGGAATATAAATCCGATCATTTCTTTCTTTCTACTAAAAGTGAGTAGACCTGTTGTCAGAACGTACCAATGTTTTCAGAAATACATATCCAATAGCACTGACAACACTGCCCAAATCACAGGACTCATTTCCAGTAATAATTACGAAGTTGCCCTCTGTGCGAGGTTTCTAAAAAGGTAAAGAGTATTGCTGTGAATTACCAAATTGTTTCGAACATTTTCCAGAAAGCTTTTGACACTCAAATTCATATTAAACCTAAATTAAAAACAATTTATTAAATACACTTAACCGGCAATGAAACAATTAAATGCAGCAAAAATACTACAAAAATTGATCCAAAAAAAGAATTTCGTCTTCCAATTATCAAAAGAAAACAGTAAAGAAACAACAAACACATGATATTCTGGTGAAATTAGGGGCTAAATGTATACGAAGGACGCAATGGCTATGAGCCTTCGTGAAATCGGATCAGTCTAGAGTGTGGCAAACATAATTCCTTGAAAAAATAAAATTCATTTAAAAATCTTAATTACTATGGTCAAATGCTATTAATGATAAAAATATAATTTCATTTATTGGATGTGAAATCAGAAGAAAATCAGAGTTCCTAAGGTTCTTCACTGTTTTGTTACTTAAATAGAGAAGATTATAGTTTTATTCATGTTGATATTGTGGACAAGAAAAGAATGGCTCGTCAGTTATGTTATTCGCTTGATCGAGCATGATCATTTAACATGGGAAACTGCATAGAAAATAAATTCAATAAACTACTACCAAGTGCAAAACTTGGTTTTCTAAGGAAAGGTGTTATTGGTTTACTCATGATATAGGTAGGCATTGGATATACTGAAGTAAAGAATTTGAATGTGACTTAAATAATTCAAAAGAAGTTCGAATTGATAGAAATTCTTATCGAAGCCAACATGACTGAACAGTTAAAGTGAAATCCAATTCATTTGTAAAATTAGTATGAATGTTAGTTGACTCATTATATCATAGTTTTAGAGTGTGCTTATTCTGGTACTAGAACTATGACCTTCGCGATGCTTTTTCACTGTTTTGGTGTACGAAAATAAATGCGCTAGAATGGGTTTATTGGGGTTGGGTTATGTTGGTTGTTGTGTTACAGGCAGCTTTGAAGTGCTTGTAAGTGTTCTTATATCATTAAATATTTATTTTGCGGACTTAATCCACCCTTTTATTGTGAATTACATCATTTTTTAGCGATAATGTCTGACAAACGATCAACTGTCCTATACAAGGACTCCAATGGAGAAAAATATGGGTTCATCGAGAAGACTGACAACGATCGAAATCGATATCTCGTTGTTCCTTTTGGCTCAGATTCAAAGCTTTGGGTTTCTAAAGGGGATACATTACATGTTGAATTTGAGGTATGCTTTATGTCAATTTTTTACTAAACAACTTCAAAAGGATATAAATAACGATTTCGTAAAATTATCGTTGGACTGGGCAATTAATTATCTCGAAGAAGTTGAGAAAGTAGGTTTTGTTCATAATTCATTTCGCGTTTTATCGAAAATTTACCGTTTTTTATAAAATTTAGAATGTCACCACCACTAACGTTGATGATTCCTCCAAATCTGAGTAAGCAGTTTTCTGTCCTAATTTTATATAGCCTTATTATTCGAAACTTATTAATAGATTTCTTTTAATTCTAGTGAAGAAATTCCTCAATCAGGGAGTGTTATTTCAGACCATGTAGAAGCTGCTGTTTATGCTATTTTCCTCCATTTCATAAAGTTCATTATTTATTTAACTGCAATATCTTTAATTTGTAGGAATCTCAACTTGCAGCAACTGGTTACTCCTCTGAAGTACCTAATTGGGAAATTGACCAGGTTTGCGTTTGTCGTTGGGACTACGATAATGAATGGTACTTCGGTGTCATATGGGCGATTTTTCCTGAGAATCGTACGGTTGATGTGTGCTTTCTTTACTACGAAAATTCCCAGAAGTTTGTTCCAATTGATGAAATACATCCAGTTAACTCCACAACAATCGATTGGGTCAAGGATGACTACAATGCTGCTGCCGCCTCTCAAATACTTGGTGTGTAAGTCTACTTCTCCTCGTCCCTTCCAAATTGCACTTTTAAACTGCCATACTCTTGATTCTCTTTACCTCAAAAATATGGCTTTGTGATGGAAAAAGTAGATACATCATTCTTCCTGAACTTCTAAAAGTTTAAGCTGCTTCAAGTTTGGAATCAGTGGTTGCTTTTACTATGTTAGGGTTTTCTCCATTGTTTTGGTGAAAGACTATGCACTATTGTTATTCCATTTCACCAATATATCTGTCTCTTCTATTACGTTCACGTAAAGGTTCTCTTTTCCTTCGACGCCCTAAAAGGTAAATTAAACTTTAACACTCACTGAGTAGCAGCTACAGTAGCTGAAATTAAACTTATAAAGTACATCCATCTTGTTTGCTGTTCTAACCTTTCTTTCACTATTAAAACTTCGTTCTTCGCGGCTTCAGAAATTGGCCTGTTAGACAAACCACAGAGGAAGTAATCTATGAGGGGTCAGAACCAACCTCAATGGCCTCTGAAGAGAAGAAGGAAGTGAAACCGAAAAAGACAAAGAAACGGAAGGGAAATTCACCACTCTCTGAGGGCAGGGTAAACATACCTGAAATTTCTCGCATTTGGCTGTCTTTGATGGAGAAAGAATGTGGTTCTGAGACTTCTTCTCTTCGCAGATTGATTTTGAGCCAGTATCAATTAGGCTACAATGCTGGCTTCAAAATGGTATGTTTCATTCTGCTGCATCCCTTTTTTCAATTGTCTTAAGATGGTGATTAATAATAGGGAGTTATTATCTTCTCTAGGGCTTGAAGACTCGAGGTGGAGCTGTGGGGGAATGGAGGCAATAACTGAGCTCCTACACCGACAGGGTGCATTCGTGCAATCACTTTTGCCTTTTCTTATTTTTGTATATTTTCCAACTTCTATTAAAATAAAGAGAACCTTTTTTTGACATAATTGAATGTTATGAATGGAACTCTTTGTACACGGTTTCTTCTCCTTACAAATGACTAAGTGTATTGGTTCGGTGAAATTTTTGCTTGTTGGTAGTTTACAGTTAATTGCGGCAAATTTATGATAGTGTCAGGGGACCGAGATTGGGTTTAGGGTTTGCATGCACAATTTGTGTTCCTGGAGTTTTCACTTGTATCTATGACTTAACAAGTAACCAATCGGCGTGCTACGGCTGCGTAAATCCCTGTGTCTCAAATATTTATATATTGGGTAGTTGAAATGGAATGTACCACGAAATCTTAATCAATTCAAAGTCCGCGTGCCGAGGGCATCAGCAACCGGGTAAATCCTAAAGGCTTTCTTTTAGTGATCAAGAAAGTATATCAAGCCATCATTAAGGATATAGTGCTCTAAAAGTTGCTATTCGCTTGAACATTCAATTATCACAACAAATCGTCATTCAAGCAGTTGTCATAAATAAATATTCTCCTTTTTTACCTTAATCATTACTTTACGAGTAGTATAATCATTTCTTCTCAAACTAGTATCTTGCCTATCCAGATGTGTTCCAGTGAATTCAGTGAGGTTTCTAATAGACTCAACTAGTTCATTCGACGAAGTTCGGCTCCTATAGACATGTATTTTCATTTTCTAGGAGGCATTTTCATAATTTTTTACAATCTACTTGTGCTAAATTGTGCTAATGCGGCATGGGCAGTAAACACCTAACCCTTCTTGTATTTAAAAGTAAGCGCAAAGATGAACCGCACCTCGTAAATCACAATAACTCGTTCAGCCAATCAACAAAGACTCTCGCACAGTTGTGCGCTGTCGACTATGCAAGGAACCAATGATTTTCGCTCAATTCGTTAAACGCTAAGTCGCCACACAGAACATATAACCCTCCATTAAAGAAAAAATATAGAAAGATCGAAGCATTAGAAATAGCAAAAAAGGCAGCCTATTCATTAGGTTACTCAAGTAAAACCCCTTTATTTTGAAATTTATTATTTATTAAGTTGATTTAGGCCAAATTCCAGAACTCGAAAATAATACCATGCCACACAACAACAAATTTATCGAATTTGAAATTGAAAATAGCTGGTGATTACCTGGCTCTTCAAGTTCATTTCCACTACACGGCAACTTGAGGTGAGGCAACAATTGCAAGATTGGAAGTAACACCAGCTGAAATATTTTGGTGCGAGTGATTGTCACGTGGACAGAGGCAAAAGCCACAAAATAATAACTGTTTTAATAATAAATAGTTCAAAAATTAAAAAAAATAAATATATTCTCTTTTCAGCTCATTAACAATGGAAGAGTTGCAAATATTGCGTACGAATTTCGAGTTCAAAAGCAAAAATTGTTTAAATTGACTGAAGTGAGGCATTTCAAAATTGCACAGTTTCGATTTCTGGAAGGTTTCCCTCTTACGGTAAGTTGAAGAAGTATAATGCGCACTCTTCTGCACTCGATCACAAACTCA